GGACACTACAAAATAATCAAGAGGATCAATGATTTGGTTTATCGAGTCCAACGCAACACCAGGACTAAGATGAAAGTTGTACATCTGGACAGGTTAACGAAATATCATAGGCGTGAAGTTGATCGGGACGATCAACCTTAAGAGGAGTGCAGTGCAACGGCGTGTCAAGAATCGCATAGCAGATTCGAGATTTTACGTGATATTCGGGAACAACGTCGATCGCGGTTCTTCTGAAATTTACAGGAATAAATTACGGCTATATATAGGGGCGGCCGGGACGGGTTTTAGCTTGTAAGTTTAAGTTTTAGTTCGACTGTGATACCATTTAAATAGTGATTATTTTTGTAAAGAGTTTAATTGTTGAGTTAGTTATTAAAGTAATTAGTGTCAGAGTGTATTGTTACGTGGAATTAATTATTGCTGTGTTAATTGGACTTTGATTTTTGGAATAAACGAAACGAACCCAAGATTTCTGTCAGGCAATCCAAAGCCGTGACAGTTTTAAACAGTTTATTTTTTATAAACTGATAAATTTTTAATTTGGGACATTACCTACTTTATTTGCTGACTGTACATCCAATGGATGAATTGCGTGTCCATCAGTTTCATCCTATCACGAAACTATCAAGATTTGGCCCCTACTTCAAAATCCATCCGTCTTCACAAAAAACGGAGCTATTTGCAATGCTACAAATAGATTCATGCTCTAGAACCGTTTGAAAAACTTAATCTATTGAACTGGTTATATAGAAAAAGATGGCATTTCAATGCCACGAGTGACAGACGATACAAGGAATTCTGAAGATTTTCCTAGCCATGTAATTACTTTGCTAGACGTGCTTTAGACAAACGGTATGTCCCTGTACTCTGTAGAAGATTGGAAATAATGTGTTGTGACTTTTGTAAATGAAGAAGTAGAGTTTTGGACCAATGCAAGAATCCTCATACATAAGTAGTACATTTTCAATATTTAGTTCAATTTGTTGGTAGTGTTGGTACTTTTTTAATGACTTGCATGCTCCTTCTGCACCTACTCAGCAACTACATTTTTTGCATTTGAAAAAGTATACTATTTGCACCTACTTAGCAAATACTTTTTCACATTTGGATAATAGTTATTTATTATACAATGGAAAACAGTACTAGATTTTAGCGCGAGGTGTGGTTTGTCTTCCTACGCGAAGCGGAGGGAGACAACACAGCAAGCGTTAAAATCTTACTTTTTTCCCATCTCTATAATACACAATTTTTTTCTGTGACAGGAAAATCTCACCAAATTCACCTACCTTTGATTGAAAATGCAATTTTGGCTTCGACTGATTGATATTTAAATGGAGTTGTAATATTGTTTGCAACTCGTGCGCGAAATGTTTTTGGTGATCGAGAACGGAAATTTTTTGAAGACGCGTAGCGGAGTCAAAAAATCGTTCGAAATGACATTTCGCGCACTAGATACAAAAATAACTATTATCTTGTTATATCAAATCTTTACTTTCGTTTGTAAATGCGCTATAATAGTTCTGTTGTTCAAAATTATGCTATATTTCAAAAACTACGTCCTTTTACAAAAAAGTGTGATCACAAAATATGTTTGCCTTCTAAAAATGAGCAAAACGTTCCTAAAAAAAGAAATAAAATCGGAGCGCTGTGGAAGGAGATATAGTCAAACAAAAAATCTAGCAATATGGCGGACATTTTTAAATATGGCGACCAAACGTCCATGATCTGAACCATGTGACCAATGATTTTTTAAGCTCCAAGCTCCTATAGGTTTTTAATAAAGCCCCGCTCAAAAACTTAGAGAACATATAACTGCACACGTGACATGAGATAGCGCCCGCACTATAATGCATAGTAATAATAAACTTGGTTTTCGATATAGGTACATACTTCAAAAAAAACTCGTAATTCAGTGATGGCGATAATGCCACAACACTTCTACCACAATTCGTTCAAAAATACGATTTTTAGCTTTGAAAAGAATCAAGTTGAAAAATTGGTAATAAGTAGGTAAATGCCGGAAAATAATTTATACATGTTCAAAACTATGTCACACACATGAAGTACCTAATAGATCAAGCTGAAGTTAAAGTTTTTTTAGCTCTTTTTCAATTTTCAATCAAACAATTGATGTCCAAATTTGCTTTCTCAAGGATCACCAATAATAACAGGGTTTTTTTTCTTTGTAGAAGAAGCATATTAAATATTTGTTTTTCCAAAATTTGTTCATATCTTTCAAAAGCACGTTATTCGTTCCAATATTCGGGCAACATCAGAAGTTGACGAACCCTTTGTACAACGCGTGGACTCGTTGTACGTTGTACGTTGTCGATATTCAACAATGGTAATTTGTACAATTTTAATCCATTCTAATCTTAACTTATCGAAACGTCTATGTCACAGATAATAGACTGGAAATGTATGTAATTAAATTTATTATTATCTTTTATTTATTAATTTGTCATACAATAAGTTGAGGCTTAACAAACGATTATCACCTAATCTTTTTATAAAATTGAAACTAAACTAGGTACTTACTGTAACTGAAAAAAGTAAATTCAGGGTTCTGCAATAGTGCGTAAGGTGTCTTATTATACAGGGTATCCTTAGATAAACTGACACATTTTTCAGGTGGGTAAATATCTCGAAAACGAGAAAAGATAACGAGATATGGTTTGTTCTGGGAGAAAAAGGATTTTTTAAAGTTTCATTTTTCATAGAATTGCCGAATTCTAAAATTTGCCGAAATTAGGTTTTACTGACATGAGCTTTTTTGAAATAAAATTCTGCCTTATTTCAATGAAACACCCTGTAGATTTTGTCATCGTCAGAAAGCCTGATTTTTCTACTCTATACAAAAATGTAGGTATGTCTTTTTTCAGTTATCTTGAAATTCCATCGAAAAAATTGCACTTTGTTGAAAAGGATACCATCGATTGGCCAAAAAAAAAGTTGATAATTATAGTTTGTGTTTGAAACATTTATTAGTTAATTAATAATTAATAATAATAAAAGTATTAGACACAAATTAATATATTTTTTTTTGGCCAGCCGATGGTACCCTCTTCAAATAAGTGCAATTTTTACGATGCAATTTCATGATAATTGGAAAAATTATACATTTTTGTAAAGTAGAAAAATCAGGCTTTCTGACGAAGACAAAATATAGAGGGTATTTCATTTAAAATAGGGCAAGAGCAGTCATTTTATTTCAAAAAATCACATGTCTGTAAAACCAAATTTCAGCAAATTTTAGAATTCTGAAATTGTGTGAAGAAAAAGACTTTAAAAAATTCTTCTTCTACCAGAACAACCCACATCTCGCTATCTTTTCTCGTTTTCGAAATATTTACCAGCAAATAATGTGTCAGTTGATTTAAGGACAGCCTGTATATTAGCTCAAATACCAATCAAGCTAAGAAAAACTCATGTTGTCACACAACAGTTTAAGAGTTATTTTGCAATTACACCATGATACAGAATTCACTAGTCTTAAGATAGTTGAGAATAACAACCTAGTTATTCAAGATCATTTTAAAATAGATATAAATCAAAAATCATATCCACTTTTTGTTTTAACAAATGATTAAAATCAAAAATTGATTTGTAGGACAGAGAAAGATTTAAATAATAAATGTTTACAAATTATATCGATTTGTAAATTATCCAACTTGAAAAACTGCTCAGGTTAAATTAAAAATAGTATATTACATACCAAGTAGGAAAGTGTTTCATTACTGTCGAGAAATTTATAAGTAGGTATAGTCTATTAATTAGTTCTTAGATGACAATTATTAATCTATGACTATAAATTTCGAGACAGAAATGAAACCCTACCCTCCGAGGTTTGCATACTATTTTAAGGAAATCGTGAAGTAGAGTAGGTAATATGATAGGTACTTTCAAATTTCTAAAAAGTCAGTAAAACTGTGAAATTAAAGGTTATATTATTTATGAGCATACATTAGACTGTGCGACGTTGCCAAACTGAATGTCGTGATTTGTTAATACTAAGATGACGTCAGGGCATAGATCCCTTTTCAACGCTACAAAAACTGTTGTTGTACAACTCAACGTATTAACAATTAAAAAATTACATTAGTTTTATAACTGTAGTCCAGAAAATACAACAAAAAAATATTATATGTAATATAAACAAGGAAAAAAGCAGGTTTCTAAAGGCAGTCTTGGAAATCAACAATGGCAACGACAATCTGACAACGTACTAATTTGCAGTATATTATTGCTATTTGTAGCGACTGACGTCATATTTGGCGGGTTTTTGGCGGCGTTTGAAATGTTGCTGAATTTATATTTTTTATTAAAAATAAACGGCCACTCAAATGTTTCCCAAAATAGTTTTAATATACAGTTTGTGTTCTAAAATTAGACTTTAAAAAAAAAAACACTTAATCTTCCCATTTAGTTCCCTTTAATAATGGATCCAAAAACAAAATTTATCTATCGATAGTATTCAAGAAGGATGTTTTGATGGTGTTGATGGAAAAATTTAGGTATCTTTCAGCTTTCAGCCTCAATTTTATCAACAGTTCGACCGCATTTCCTTTTCTCCCAATCATGTTGCTTCCAGATTGGAATATGGGGGCTGGAAAATATGTCAGGAAAAAAAAGTACTTGAAATTTGAAACTATAGGCTTATTTAAATTAGACTTTGCTATAGGGCTAAGAACTTTGTTAAAAAAAAAAATATAAAAACTAAAAAATTTATAGAGGAGGAGGAAGAAGTCAAAAGCCAAATTACTGTGAATTTATTCTATAAGATAGAAATAAATAGGAAAAATAATATTAATAATACTTATTGTGTGTACTAAATTTAAATGTATCAAAATAATTTTGAAACGACCTTCAACCTGCGCATGAAAAATTCCTGTACACGTATTATTTAATTAGCAGCCTTGTAAGTAGGTATATTTGCCGGTTGAAAATTCATAAAGTGTTGCACTGAATATAATATTAATTTACTAAAAATAGTTACTAACCGTATTTCTCACTAAGCCACAATAAACAAATTTGTAGAAGAGTATAGAGTATTAGAGATTTGTATATCCCTAGCACAATCACAGAACACTAAACAACACACTAGGAGTGTGTTTCATGATCTGGGCGATTTTTTTATCGACATCGACAAACGTAGCTACTGATAAGATATGACGTACATACATGAAAATATTTACCTGTGTATAGTATAGGAATGGAAATAAATTATTGTTAATGTATAGTTTAATGGTAGAGTTGCTCAGATTTTTTATGTGCTAAACGATAAGGTGCGCAATGTTTGGAGTAGTCTATCACCTTCAGACATCAGACGCCTAAATAAACTTGTTTGTAAAATAACAATGCTATAAACTATATAAACTTTTGCGAAACAGGCCAATTTGTAGTCAAGGGCCAATTTGTAAAAAAACATAGTTCGTTAGCAATTTTGTGAGGCAATATTGTGAGATACCTTAAAATTTTCAAAACACCATGCAGATTAAGATTTTTTTTGGTACCAGCCCCGTATCCATGTCAGAGGTGAGAAATATCCCCTCCCTTATTTGGGCGGGGTCTTATTTTTAAAAAGTTTTTCTTGACGTAAAATATTGATATTGCTGTCGTTTTCGTATAACTTCAGGCCGGCAAATTGAAATATGAGGTCAATTTTTGAGAATAACCCCTGGATGAGGGCATATTTATTGAATTTAAGGTCATATATAGACAGACACTTTTCACACTTACCCAAAAAGTAACGTATTTAAATTAATATAAATATTAGTAGGAATAAACTTCTGAGAACTACCTCAATCTTTTCCAGTGCGAAGATTAGTATATTACAATCCGAGACGGGAAATGCTTCATTACTTGTCGAGAGGTTTTATAGTTTATCGAGACGCGTAGCGTCGAGATAAACTGAACCTCGAGACAGCAATGAAGTTTCCCGTCGAGGGTTGTATACTATTTTATTTTTAACCATAATTTCTTGAAAAAAAAAAAAATTCGGGGCAACCAAATGAGGTCGGCAAATGAAGAGGAAAATGACAACGGGAAATATTTCCCTGCTCCATTTTCCGTCCGTGGACGGGAAATGAGGACGGAAAAAATTTCCCGTCCTCACTTCCCTTTTTTTTGAAAAGTCAGTAATGACAACATTTCATATATGGTTAAAAATAAAAAAATTTAATTAGGTACTATTCGCATAGCTAGTGAGGACGTTCCTCATGATGTGCAAGGTATATGTCTGATATGATATAGAGAAGACCAAGGCTGATATATTTTATAAGAGCAGAATTAAAACAAATGAAGTCGGTTTTTGGGATTCAGCAAAGGCATTAAAATTGAAGCTATGTAGTTCTATGAAAAAAACAGTCAAAGTCAATAGTAAGCACGGAGTCATCTAGTTACAAGATCAAAATATTTTTACTAGATGTGTCCTTATTTGTCGCAGTCGGGATGGTGATGTTGATTTGGAACCTATGAGTTTTCTACTCGTCCTCATTCTCTATTCTATTCTGATAGATCATTAATTAAGTGTTCCGCAAAAAGTAATCTCATGTCCCATCTGGCAGAACCTATAGAAGATGATACACCTCCTGCATTATCTGATGTCTTAAATCTAATGACTTCTGTTGCATCATAGACAGTATGGCAGAAGTTCAAATGATATGTTCTTAAACAACATGAAATTTCTTTCGGATTTTGCAGACGCATTTGTAACCAACATTTTTTTTTAAGTATAAAATGTTTAATGAAATTCATGTAGTCTTTGATTCCTACAATGAAAATTCCTTGAAGTCTGTAGAACAAACCAGAAGACAAAAGGGGGATAGATCCAGTAAAATATAATGTCCATGACAAAACTAATATAAAAAACCTTAATAGGTATCAAAAAATTGTTATCGCATACAACTACAAAAGATAAACTAACCGAATATCTCTCCAAAAAACTAGTGGAAAAAACTTCCGTTCAAGCAGTCACAGTAATTTGTTCATATAGGTACATCAACATCAAATATTGTTACTAACAACAAAAATTAGGATATGTCATTTCTAGAAAGCAGTCCCGAAGAGGCAGATAGGAAAATGTCATTTCATGCAGTACAAGCATCTACACCTTTTCCATATGTATTTCAGAGATCGTCAGTTTAATTTCAGAATGCGTCAATTGAAATTCAGATTAGTAAATTGTATTTCGGAAAGCGTCAATTGTATTTCAGAATAAATAATTTTATCTGGGAAAGAATCAATTGTATTTCAGATTAGTTTATTTTATTTCAGAAAGTGTCAATTGTATTTCAGATTAGTTAATTTTATATCGGAAAGCATCAATTGTATTTCAGATTAGTTGATTGTAGTTCAGAAAACGTGAATTGTATTTCAGAAATTGTCAGATATAGTTCGGAAATTAGTAGGTATCTACGCAGATTTCCCCAAATCAACACAAGTTAGGTGTATAGGTTATTATATATTTTATTTAATACACTACATTGATAATATCTGAAATACATTTGACGAATTCTGAAATACAATTTACAATTTCTGATCTACAAATAAATAATCTGAAACACAAATGACGATTTCTGAAATAAAAGTGACCAAACTGAAATACAAATGACTTTTTCTGAAATACACCTGACGAATCTGAAACACAAATGATGTTTTCTGAACTACAACTGACAAAGTTGAAATACAAATAACACTTTCTGAAATTGAACTTACACAACTGAAATACAATTGACGCATTCTGAATTAGAATTGATGAATCTGAAATACAAGTGATACATTCTGAAATACTTATGGAAAAGGTGTAGTCAGGGGACAAGTAAAATTAGAATTTTTTCTCCTGATACGGATGTTTTAGTATTAGCTATAAGGCGAATTCCTCTCTTGGCAAGTGATTCAGCTTTTGTAAAAATAGATTCTAACAGCCGCTAGTTTCCATTGCAGAATATCTACAATAAATTAGGTTCCCTAAAAGCTGCAGCGCTTCCCGGTTTGCATGCATTGTCTGGCGCAGATGTAATGAGTTCCTCTAGAGGAGAATCAAAAACTACATTTTGGAAAAAAATTTTAGTATCTTCGACAAATACTCTCGAAACACTGGCATCCTTGGGTGAAACCGAAGAGATTTAGGAATAATCTCTTTCTAAAATTGAACACTTTGTATGTTCTCTCTAGTATGACGAAAAAATCATCAACTTTTGACGGTTCCACATCCTGGACCATGTATATCCGACAATTTGAAGCTGCTGCGAATACCAACGGATGAAATGATCAAGAAAAAGCTACAGCACTGATAGTGGCGCTAAGAGGACCTGCCTTAGGTCTTCTTCAATCAATTCCTTCAATCTACCAGCAGAATTACCAGCATCTAAGTCATACTTTAGAATTGCGCTTCAGAGATCATTACAGACAAGAAGTATATAGAACTCATGTTGAATCAAGAATTCAAAAACCAGGCGAGAGTTTACAAGAATTCGAATCAGAAGTTGAAAGACTAGTGACTTTGGCGTTTCCTGCAGCTGGGAAAGACATGCAGGAGAATAGATGGCAGTATCTGCGTTTATTGGTGGTCTCAGAGATTCCAAGATCCAGGAAAACCTGAGAATGTCCAAGTTCAGAAAAAGTAGCGAAGCCCATATCCGATAATTGGAACTGGAAGCAATCTTTGGTGCCTCACGACCTAGAATACGAGCAGTGCCCATTGAAGACCCAAAGGATAAACAATCTTTAAAGAGGATGGTAGTTTCGAGAATGTTATGAGTAATTTCATGGAGAAAATGAAGAAACTATTAGGTACTAGAAGGTGGACGAACGGGAAACGACTCCAGACAAACACCAACACCGAGAAACCGAGTAGAATGTTACCGGTGCCATAAGCTTGGACATATGCAATGTGATTGTAGAGTAGGTAAGGATGCGAGTAAGGATGTCCTCTCCATCTGGGGATCGTTCTCCCTTTTGGACATCTAGAGATGTCAGTCCTGAACATCGACCTAGAAACCTGCATGAAAATGCTGCCGCTCTGTCTAGACGGCCATGCAAAGAACTGCTAGCATAAAAAATCGATATTCTTGAGAAAAACACTGGTCCGGCTGTGAGAAGAACGGGTCTTATCGTTGATGACAAATGGATTAGCAAACAAATAAAAGCATATCAAGACGCAAACCAGGACATCGGGCAAATTCTACATCTTGAAGAAAATTATGAAGGTAGGCCAGAATGGGGGGAAGTGTCAAACAAGAGCTTGATTTCAAGGCGTTTTGGGCTCAGTGGAACTCTCTGGCCGTAGAAAATGGTTTACTGAAAAGAATTTGGGAGTGTGCCGATGGGAAAACTACTAAGAGCCAACTAGTTATTCCAAAAGATCGAGTAGAAGATGTACTGAAAGAAATACATGACGGAAGTTCAGGGAAACATTTTGGAGTTAACAAGACTTTGGACAAAATTCGGGAACGTTTTACTGGGTTCACGGGTTCACTATCATGAAGACGGTAAAAACTTGTGCCGAAAATGCGACATCTGTTATAGTTTATCTATTCTTAATTGAACTACTTTATTTTCAAGCTATGTATAAAGTACGATCAAATATTAGGCAACTTTGGCGTGAATAAATACTCTAAAAACCAATATAAATGTTTTGAATATTCCCTACTAGAAACTACAATCGACAAAATGAAATACTGGTTTTCGGAACGAAATTTCGAAAAGATTTCTTCATGTTTATTTGCCTGAGCGACGCGACAGCGCGGCGTCGGCGCGGCGTCGGCGATGTAGTTTCACAGTAGTTTGTTTTTTTTGTCAGAGGCAGAGGCAGAGGCAGGTTTATACGTGTGTATATTTTTATGAAATAATTGTTTAAAAAATATCTCCTAAACGGCACTGGGGCATATGTATTCCAAAATATCTCAAATATAATAATAAATATAATTTAAATTTTACGTACACTTTATTTTTTCCCAAGATAGATTTTGACATTGAAAACTTTGAAACATAAACAATAACGCTTGACCCTGATTGGTCGCAAAATGAGGTGTTTCTGCAGGTTGACATCAGTTTTACAATAGCGACCAATAAGCGGCATTAGCGGCATTGTTTATGTTTCAAAGTTGACAATGCCAAATTTTATCTTGGAAAAAAATAAACATAGAATGATATCTAAATTATATTGATTTATTATATTATGA